TTTGTTGTTGTTAAAGCAAAAGAATTGAGCTTGCGGAACGGTTACTGAATCTCTATGTGATGTAAGATATTCGAAGTGATATTTACCTCCCTCATTCCCACTCTGGAAAGGTTAGCAGATGTGTGTATTTCTGAAGATACAGTCAATCTAGACGTTCACTTCTGTTGTTTCTTTCTTTCGTTTTAAACTGGCCCAAAACCATCATTTTCCTCTCCTCCAACTACTTAAAATATCTTTCTATAAGCCTGATTAAGCCTCAATTATTGCAGTGTCCAAAATGCCACAGGATTGCTTAGCATAAACAGCAATGAAGTATTTTGCCCAATTTAATTAACTATTCGTTTGCAGGAACAGGGCGGTAACAGGAGGTCTGCAAGATGAGGGGAGTGTGCTCGTTCTGTCGTGACAACATGCAGCTCTCACTCACTAAAGCAACAAAAGAGTATCTTGTGGTCACCGTGCGTGCCCACCAAGGGTCATCTGGGGCTCTGTCGCCTGTCAGCTTCACTCAGGCCCCAGGCTGGGGGAGCAGCCTCTACCTGGGATGTTGATAACGTGCTGGGGGATTTGTATACTGGCTAATGCTCTAGCCCCGGAGTAAGAGGTGACATTTCTACTCACGATTCGCCAACGGCCAGAAGTACCCTCTTACTACGTGTCTGGACACTGGAGCGAGCCGGACCTCTGTAGCAAATCCAAGGATGAGACGGTGCATAATGGTAAGCACACAAACACAAATCCAAGTGCCTTTTTCATCTTTGAATGCAATAAATCAACTATTTGAACTCTATTTTCATGATTGGCACACTCGGCTTGCTTCTTTCACTCTGGAAAGATCTCAAGTCTGTATGCTAGCTCATGGATTCAACACACGGCTTTTTTAAAAAAACATTTTATTTATCTATTTGAGAAAGAGAAGAGAGTGCATAAACACAGGCAGAGGGAGAAGCAGGCTCCCCGTTGAGCAGGGAGCCCGATGCAGGGCTCCATCCCAGGACCTGAGATCATGAGCTAAGCCAAAGGCAGATGCTTAATCGACTGAGCCACCCAGGCGCCCCAACACATGGCTTTAATTCACACACAGTGCTTCTGTGTTCTTTGCCAGGCAAACCAACGTAAGAAGCGCTATCACTGACTTCTCTATCCACCTAATCACACTATGTCACAATCTAACCAGTACTATATATGGTGGTATGTGTTGTGCACTGCACAAATTTAGGAAGCAGTCTTCCCAATGCATTGTGTTAATGTGACCCCTAGAGTTGTGCGGTACACACCATGAGCAGTAATATCTGGAGATCATGTAAATCTATCCATTTACTTATTATTTTTTAAGATTCTGTTTTTGGGGCACCTGGGTGGCTTAGTCGTTCGAGCGTCTGACTCTTCATCTCAGCTCAGGTCTTGATCTCAGGGTTGTGAGTTCGAGCCCCGCATTGGGCTCCTTGGTGGGCATGGAGCCTACTTAAAAAAAAAAAAAAATTAAGGATTTTATTTTTAAGTAGTTTCTACACCCAATATGGGGCTCAAACTTAGCCTGAGATCAAGAGGCCCCTGCTCTACAGATTGAGCTAGCCAGGTGCCCCATTTTACTTATTTTCTTAACCAGGAGATCACTACATAAATCTAAGTCTAAAGCAACCTATTTATGTCCTGGTTCCATGTACCTCTTTCCTCCTCTGTAACAGAACCATTATAACATCTATTTGACAGATGCGGAGTGAAGATTAAGTAGATTAATGCACAGAAGTCCTTGGAGGCAAGCCGGGGATGCACGAGCCTAACTGAGCATGAGCCCCTATTCCATCCTCTCCCAGGGGGCCAGCTCTGGGACCAGTTCCTACCTCACCTGCAGTGCCAGACAAGGTGCTACAGAAACTTGTATGATCTCTGCTCTGGACACGATGGCTGGAAACAGGTCTCCCTGAGACCAGCTCTAACAGATGGTCTGTCTGATCCCCCCACTCTCTCTCAGCAGTTCCCGACCCAGGGCATCTCCCTTTTCTGAAAAAATACCACACGCATCCTCTCCTGAATTATCTGCAACCCTGACTTCTCCCAACCTCTTCATACCACGCTTGCTGCCTTCAACCTGAGAGGCAACAACTCTCAGATCTTCCTGCAGAAGGTCCTGATGTGTGGCAGGAACTGAATGTGTTCCACCCTGACTTTTAAAGAAAAGCATCAGAAGCACGAATCGCAGGAGTTACGTGGTATTATTTCAGAGGGTGCAGAAACAAGTCGGCTTGAAGACATTACATTGTCTTTTGATCTTTTTTCTAAGACTAAAATCTGATTAACAAAACTAAAGCACCACAGTCAGCAGAGTGCTTAACGTATGCACAGGAAATATGGGTTTAAGGATTTCAAAGGTTATAAAGTTTATAGGGATTTCAAAGACTATTTTATTTTTATTTTTTTGAAGATTTTTGTTTATTTATTTGAGAGAGAGAGTGAAAGCACAAGCTGGGGGAGGGGCAGAGGGAGAGGGAGAAGCAAACTCCTCGCCGAGCAGGAAGCCCGATGCAGGACTCGATCCCAGGACCCTGAGATCATGACCCGAGCCGAAGGCAGATGCTCAACCAACTGAGCCACCCAGGTGCCCCAACTGACTGCAATTCTTTTGGATAAATACCCAGAAGTGGGATTGCTGGATCATACGGTAATTCTATTTTTAATTTTTTGAGGACCCTCCGTACGGTTTTCCATAGTGGCCGCATCAGTTTGCATTTCCCCAATGCATGAAGGTTCTCTTTTCTCTACATCCTTCTCAACACTTGTGGCTTTTTTTTTTTTTTTTTAAGTAATGTTCACCACCCTTCAATCTTGAAAAGGAAGAGAGTCTCGCAAAATGCAACAACACAGATCAACCAGAGGGACGTTATGTGACATGAATTAAGTCAGTCACAGAAGGACAGACACTGCAGGATTCCATTGACAGGAGGTATGTACAATAGTCAAACTTACAGAAGCAACAGAGCAGCATGCTGGTGGCGAGGATCTGGGGGATAAGAAAGATGGGAAGCTGCACATCATCGGGTAGAAAGTGGCAGTTATGCAAGATGAATTCTGGAGGTCTGCCATGCAGTCTAGGGCCTAAAGTTAACAGTATTGCATTGTACACTTAAAAGTCAAACAGGCTAGATCTCAGCTGAAGTGTTGGGACAACAATAAAATCGAAATAAAAATATAAAAGAACAACACACACACACACACACAAGAATTAACACATGGGGCTTCTACTGAAAGCAACACCAGTGAATCAGAAAAACCGTCTGCAATACAAAGAGCTTTCACAACACGTCTCGCTCATCTAGTGTGACCAACCTACTGGATTAGCCAAGGTAACCAGTCTACCTGCTATGACACCATCAACCTCCGGATCTCAGTGGCTTACGAGAGAAAAGTCTGGATCTTGGTCAGGTTGCAATCACCTGGTAACCAGGCAGCTCTCCCTGGTTGCCCCAGCTGGTGACGTGGCTCAGGGTTCCAGGCTCTTGTAACTGCACCGTGGCATCCTCATTCCTCAGGATCTTCTCTGAGTCCTTACCTGGATGTTCTGCGCTCAGCGGCCACGGCAAAGATGACATGCACGGAACTTTCTGGCCAGGCCCGAGTGTCTCATGGTCCCAACACGACAATAAGGGAAGACAGAAATGCGTCCCTGCCTCGTACCAACAGACATGAAACTGCCCACTTGCTGCAGGAGAAAGTTTCTGCCTCAAATGTAATTACAAAGAGGCCATGCCCACTGGGGAACACGCCCTATCTTTGTAAATACGGCACTTTACGTACTTAATTTTGCACCTTGTGCTCAATTTAGACAATACGCATTTTCATAGTCAACTCAAAGTACATAGTTATAAAAAATACAGTCACTGGAGATTTTGCCTTTAGGAAAACACCACCATAGACAATACAGGTTGTAACGTGAGACTCTCACATGAACCGTGAGGCCAGTTTTATATCCTAGACTTCAATACGAAAGTGACGGGTTGCACACTGGGTAAAGCAAACCCAGGCATTGTGCAATCCACCTCTAAAAAGATGTGATGGATTTGCCGCGTAAGCCAAACAGCGCTATCCTGCAAACTCATTTAGAGCATTTGAACCTCATGAGTAGAACCCCAAGGATGACCAGGGCGCTAGAGTCCCCCACTTAGACCCACTGGTGGTGTCCTGGAGGGAGCCTGGATTTAACAGGGACACTGACATCACACAGCACGTTCTCTGAGGGCTAACGAGCGCATAATGAGGCTCGAAGCCAGCTCGGAGCATCTACAAGTCACCACGCGTCATCCACACAGACCTCTCCCTAAGGACCCACGTTAGCGTTTGTGCAGAAGTGCTGGGTCAAACGGGAACCCACGTGGGGCCCTCTGTGCCCGCACTCTTCCTCGTCCTTCTTACCGCTGCCGAGCTTGATTCTGACCCGGCTTCGGTCTTCCAAAGGAATCCCGTCTCAAGACCGGACGAGAGATCAATGTTTTCTGTTTCTCAGTTTCGACCCTGCAGACTTCTCTGCTGCAAATATCTCATGAGCACAAGAGGTGTTTCCCCCACGTACAGGGCCACTCGAGACTTTGACGTGCACACAAAGGGAAAACATAGTAAATAGGTTTTAAGATAATGACGTGTTGCGTGCGATCCTAAAACACGTGAAAACACATTAAGATCCTATTCTATGACTGTATGGGTACACAGGTGTATGTGATCTTCAACCTTCAATGTTCATCTTGTTCCTTCTGATTTTAAAGGGAATTAAGGCATTTTTCACGCGCCCCCGAAAAGACCTGAGGCAGTGTGCATGTCCGATCAGATGGGAGGGGCTGTTTTACTTCCTGTCTGTCTCCACACTTCCGACCCCTCCCTGCGGCTTAGGGATGCAATCAGTATTTGTCCCATCGAAACCCGCAGCCCCCATCACTTCAGACAGTCAACCCTCCACATACTTGCTGCATCTAGTCACGCGAGAACACAAAGCACTACAACACATTTCGTCGCCAAGGAAAATTTTATTTTACTTTTGCATGGACATCAGAACGGTGTTTTCAGAAACCTTAAGCAGGTGCGTCACTTTACAGACGGCATCTCTCAGACGTGGACCAAGTCCTTTCCCTGCATCTTTTCTCCCCTCTCCCCTGTACGTCCTCCAGGACAATCCGATGTCTGTTTCTTTTCTTGAATCCTTCACGATGCAGGCTGCGATTCTGCTTTTCACGCAGGGTTACTGACCTTGGGAAATGAGGTCTGTCCATAGTTCCTGTTTGCTTAGGATGTTAGCTAGGACATGCTACGAATAGAAAGCCTTCTTTCTTTTAAAAGAATCTGTTTAAAGCTCCAAAACCCAGTAAGGTTTAGACGTACAACTCAAGAGGCAATACCAGTGAGATGTTTTGAAAACAAGTAGCCTCTTACAGACTCGTAAAAACAAAACAAACTAGGTCATAAAGAAGGCTTGCTAGGTGTCTGCTGAAAAAAGAATTCCAATGTCCTGCTGTGGACCCCAAGCAAAACTTTCAGATGGCAAGTGGGTTGAAACCTAAGAATTATGCTTATCATGAATAAATTTGATTTTCCAATACCCTGATTCATAACAGTCATAAGTTATTTTGAGGCCAATAGTTTTTTTTTAAGATTTTATTTGCTTATTTGAGAGAAAGAGAGAACACAGAAGCAGGGGGAGCGGCAGAGGGAGAGGGAGAAGCAGGCTCTCCGTTGAGCAGGGGGCCCGATAGGGTACTCGATCCCAGGACCCTGAGATCATGACCTGAGCCAAAGGCAGACGCTTAATCATGTGAGCCACCCAGGCGCCCCTTAAGGCAAATACTTTAAAGCTGATTTTATTTCTAGAGGTATATGTCCTTCATTGGCTGCGAACATTCAGTACAGACTGAACAACTCTACACATACATACGTATTCACATATTCTATAAAAGTGCTTCCTTTCACTTAATCCTCCAACACACATCCCCACCCCCTGAAGTGTTGTCTAGAAGAGTCCACTTGCATTGAGTGTGTTAAACTTTGAGTAAACATGATCAGCGTAATACCGAAGTTTGTAATAGTGGTTTTAAATAGTTTCTGCATAGTAATACCAGCAATAACCCCACCCCGTTATTAACAAGCTAGTACAGTCGTTAGCGAAGGTTCCTAAAGCAACAGGACAGATTCTCAGCCACTTCTGGAGTTAGAAATCCACATGAAAAATAAGAAACCCGTTTGCTCGCCAACCTTCAACCTTTCCCGGGGAGGGGAGGAAAAAAAAACATCACTTGTAGGTTGTAAGAAAAGAAAGATGTAAAATGTGAAATCACGGATCTCAAGAGGAAATGCAGTAATACTACTGGATTTGGAAGTTCTTCCCGGGGTGGGGAACACGTGGAGAGACGTGTGGCCCACGGTCAGGGCGTCTGAGAGCACACATTCTCTCCACAGGGCCACGCGGGGTCCAGGCTTTGCATCGATCTGCCGTCTCCCGGAACAGAGCAAACACTGGGCCAAGAGGGAATGCTCAGACATGTGCACTAAAGAGACGAATGGATAAGCACGGAACAGCAGGTCCTCTCCACTGACCCGAAAAGGAATCCCCACGATACCGTTGGCAGATGTCTAGAGTCTGATCGAGTGACATGAGCATCCTCTACTCAGGTGCATCCTCTCCTCCGTGGGGGCTGGTGGTGCAGACTCAGGACCTTCCTCCTACAGAGCCACTGCCCACCGCCTCCTACGTGGCCTGCTGATGCCCTGCCCCTCAATTACTGATGTCGGAATAAGCAGGATTAAAGCGAAATTGTACATCTCATCGAGGACGGAAGGCACAGGTATTTGTTAGCCACACAATACAAGTGTAAAAAACAAAGGTACCTATATGAACTACTGTGGTCTCATCAGTAAATTCTGCAAGAACGAAAGGTATCATGATATTGTGCCAGGGTCATGGACTCCTTACGAGTTCTCCCCGCTGAGTAACACACTTTCCAGGCCAATAATTCTGCACTGCATTGGGAGGGATTCCTCGTGCTATACTATCCCCGAGGTAGCCTTTATCTGGGAACTTCCATTCACCAAAGAAACAGTAAAACCCAAATATAACACTATAAAGTATGCAACGGAAATCCATTCAGGACAGATTTGTCTTGGGATTATGGTTCCCGAAGGATTTCACAAAAAAGTCTGCTGCACGAGGAAAGTCTTATCTGTGAACCTCTCTTGCTTTTACCTAAATAGTGTGAAGCTTCTAGTTTTATAGTTCAAATATCTCTGAATTCCCGAGGAAAGAAACTGTGTATCTGTAAATATATCTATCATGCATAGTTTTTAATATGTGCTCTAAATAACACTGATAATAACTGCCTTCCAAATCAAACTGCAATTGAGCATCATCTATTATTGGTGAAGAAGATGGTCCTTTACTCATTCTAGGTTGCATATATTAAGATTCAGTAAGTGCTGTTTAAATGCTATTCCGTTGTTTATTGGTGTGCCAGGGAAATCATGGCGGCCGATGCACCACAAGGCATCGTGGAGTAACGGCGCCTTATGCCATGGGTCCGCTCATCTGCAGAGGAGTCAGCATGATACCTTCTGCTCCTCACCACCCACCTGACCCCCCACACTTACGGGACTCTAAGAATTTTGGCCACGGAACCCCACGTCTGGCATTTATCCCTGTGTATACCGTAGACTTTGCTTTCCCCCTGGCGTAACCGGGGGGCTCTTGACGGAGCCTTTGGGCAGTAAGATGGAGAGAGGCTCCCAGTCCGAGGTGCCGACAGGGTGCCGGGCCTCTGTCCCCAGACGTGCACCTAGTGGCTCGCCCTCCGGGCCTGTTCCTCCCGGTCACACTGGCAGGACAGCCCGGAAGACGAGCAGCACATCTGAAGCCACGGCTTCCAGAGAATGTTGCCCAGTGACAGCTGATTGGGGACCTCCTGCAGGGTCTCGGCGTGGCGGTCTGCGGCCCGCCGCATGACGTCGACGATCTCCTGGAAGCGGGGCTCAGTCGTCGGCGATAGCGGGTTTCTCTCCCTGGGGTCTCTGGAAATATCGAAGAGCAGCGGCGGGTGATGCTGGTTCACAAACGGCCCGTGGCATAAACACACGTGTGTGGAAAAGCACCCGTTGGCGCCCTCGGGGCTGAACTTGGGCGTGAAGAAGAAGGCCTTCCAGACGGACGTGCCTGTGGTTTACAAGGACACAGGTTGGCGTGGGGTGGGAAGCGCCCTGAGCCTCACCGCAGCAGGGAGCAAGCACACACACTACGCGGCCAAGTGCTTCCGGAATGCGGGGCACCGGACGGGCGTCTCGCCCTTCCCGCTCCGAAGAAGAACACCATAGCCCCCAAAAACAGCAAGAGCATGCATTAAGCTGTAACGGCCAAAGAAGAAACGGTAAGACGGACAGAACGACGGCTTCTATGAGGCAAATTTACACAAGGTCACCGTGGCGTTTTCTTCTGATGCACAAAAATCTCTCTATTTCCTCCCATCTCCTTCTTCCTCCTCTTCCCCAACCCCCAACGTCCCAGGCAATGCTGTGCAGGCAAGAGAAGAAAAAGCCTGTGAATCGTCTGCTCAGAGAAAACTCAGCCGGGATGGTCGTTTGGGTCTCATGGACTTTACAGCTTGGAACCACAGGGCAGACATTCGATAAACACACACACACGGACAAACAGATTATTTTTGTTTGTCTCTCTACCACCCAGCTCTACCACCTAGCTCTAGCATTTCCTGCTCTCCAACCTTTTCAACCTGTGGCCTCTATTTCCGTTTAAAATTAAGAGGATCTGGGGCGCCTGGGTGGCTCAGTCGGTTAAGCGTCTGCCTTCGGCTCAGGTCATGATCCCAGGGTCCTGGGATCGAGTCCCACATCGGGCTCCCTGCTCGGCGGGAAGCCTGCACTCCCTCTCCCACTCCCCCTGCTTGTGTTCCCTCTCTCGCTGTGTCTCTCTCTGTCAAACAAATAAATAAAATCTTTTAAAAAATAAAATAAAATAAAATAAAATAAAATAAAATTAAGAGGATCTTCCGAAAGAGGGAGGAGGCTCCCTGCTGACATGTACAGAAGAGATGCGAAAAGCACACGCACACACACACATGCACACACACGGCCATCACACACGATCTTAAACACGCAAAGACCTCGGTGAACATTTTATTTTCTCTGCTCTGACAAAGCCTGAAAGCAGCAAATCAAGAATTAAATGAGCCTGCTAGCGAGGATGGGGAGGGACCGCAAATGGGCAGCAGAAGGGAATGTTCTCAGATTAGATTGGGGCTGGGTGCGCACAGCTCCACACATTTGCTAAAAATTGTGGAATTGGAATTTTAGGGTGCATAAGTTATCTCTTAGTAAAGCTGTTAAAAATGCCAAATTAGGAGAATTCACTGACCCCAGAGTAGGATGGTTACATCATTTAAAAATTAAGTTTTTTGTTCTTTTGTTTTAATGCCTGTGCGGGGCTTGAACACATGAACCTGAGTTCAAGAGTCGGCGGAAATCAAGAGTCGGATGCTTAGCCAACAGAGGCACCCAGGCGCCCCTAAAAATTAAGTTCTTTGAACATCAGGTCTGTGTTCCGTTATACTCCCCAAGTATTAAAATTTTCAGGAAAAACCTGCTTTACAAAAAATTGTTATCAAAAAACGGATTCCCTATTTATTCCAGAATGTCCTGAGTCTGTGAGGGGCTGAGTGCTCATCAAACAGGCTCTGAGAGAGCTCAGCAAGTGGCTTCCTTCGTGAAAAAAGTGGCAGGTAGCGAAAGAATTAGCAGCTACTGACCTACTGCAATCAGATGCAGAACGAGAATGTCGAGAATGTCGTCCTTTGCATTTTCCTTACAGCGCTTTTAATGTAAAGCCCTGAAGACCTTCCCACTGTGTGGCATCCCATATGCATTTATTAATCCACTTCCATAATCTGCATATATTCTGGTGCATATTTAGTGACCAACCAAGGCCAATACAAAATAAACCAACGGAAGCAACTTAACACAACTGTAGTGGGCGTCCGCGTTGTATCCAAGCAGCCCCTGACCTCAGATGAGCGTATGCAAGGGAACGTGAGCCTCTCTGTGGTTTTGGGGGGCAGGTGGGGGACGTAGGAACCACAGGGCAAGCCCTGTGCATGTGCTAGAAATGAATACATTACGGGGCATCCGTATCAGGACGCCTCCCGCCTTAGCCTCACTGATGCCGGGAGAGACCACCCCGCACCTGTCTCACCTCCCAGGTGCTCGGCACACCTGCCTTTTAACGATGAAGTCAGGCAGACACGCCAGGCTGCAGACACCGTTCCCTGAGCACCCTCTCCACCAGACTTTTTCAAAAGCACATGGCTTTCCTGAACGTTCTCTCCATCCACTCCTCTTTTCCCCGTGTCCTCACAAGTATGACCGATTTCCTTTAGGGCTCTTTCCGGCTACCCAGGCCACAGCCACTGAGAACGCATCCCCGGTCAGGGTCATGAGGGCCAAGGCTGTTACAGACAGATGTGTGCGGGAATCCCCTCGGGCAGCTGCCGATCCAGAGGGCGTTTCCAACCTGACATTCGAGTCAAGTCTCGGTGTGTTTAAAACCCCCAGAGAATGCAGGCTCCCGAACAAATTCATTTTAAGGGCCCGTGCTCCCCGCTTGCTTTTGAAAGCCATGCACACAGAGTCCCATGATGACCACCTTCGCTCAGGCCTGCCCGGTTGTGAACTGCAGAACTGACTTAAAGGCTGGGCAGGAAATCTCCAGCATCCTCACAGCGGGGGATCGCTATCCAGCCCGGACAAGTGTACAATGAAGAATTCATTTTTCTGATTCTTTGCTTGTTCGGTATGCTCTATGTGGTATGTGCCTTTTTATTTTCTGATCTGAAATTTCAACATTTTTGCAAAAAGATCGCTTATTCTCTGTGCTATTTCTTTGGACCATTTTGGATTTGCTCCACTTAGAGCAATGGGAATACATTTTATTGCACGTAGGCTCACAAGACACGGACCCCGTTCCATTCATTATTCACCAGGAACCCAGGAATCCACATCTTCAGAGCTGCCATTTCAAAGGAAAACACTACATCCCAGGTGTGTGATAAAATAGGAAGGATCTGGTCACCTTATAATGCTAACAGCTATATTCCGTCCTATCTCCCAAAATTATTTTGATAACGTATTTCATCCTACATTTCTCCATATACTAGAAAAATGTTTTCTTTTAAATACATTTTTTCTCTTGTTAAAATTCCACTGTACTCTAAAGAAAGACTGTTCTTCTCACCTCTGCAGAGCCTCCTTGAAAACAGAACGGGTTTCCTGTTTCCGTGGCTCATGTCGTACGATCGGCTTGAACCCCGGCTGTGACGGACAGCGTGGGTTCTACTCTCAGCCCCACTGTGTCCCAGCTGTATGATGCTGGGCACGGCTGTGACCCTCTCTGTGTCCCACTCTCCCCTTCCGTGAAGTCAGCATAATCACAGTCCCTGCCTCGTGACATTGCTTTGAGGGCCCTCAAAACCCCGCTGCTACCCAGAGGGGGTGCACAGTGAAGACCACGTACGAGTGAGCTGTGAACATAAAGCATCCGTCCAAGCAAGACACGCAGTGGATTCCCTCTGCTCTTAAATCCCTTCACTGTCATACACGTCTTAAGACACTCCCCACCCCCCGAAGGATTCCTAAAGAGCATGGACAATTAAATGTAAATGGCTTCAGCACACGGATTCTTAATTCATCACTCGGACCCAGGCTTCCCGTGATGAATGCCGTCGGACTGCTAGGCCTGGCAAGATGTACTTTGGACGCTTGAGGACTCCGTGTATATACCGTGCAAGGCACACACAGACACTGTGGGTTTTCCGTCTGGCAGGGTTTCCTGCTACACCGCCATCTTGAAGTTCTTCAAGAACCATTTCAATAACACTTTGTTTTTGCACCGCGGGGGGCCCACACCCGAGGGACCCCAGGAGTGCCCCCTCAGGAATGCGGACGCCATCTACTGATGTCTGCAAATCCGTCCCACGACCCCCAAGACCACAGCGACCTCCCTGCTTCCAAGATACACCTCAAACAGCACACCGTCTGCTCCCCTATCCTCAGCCATCCACCCTACACCAACGCCCCCGTTCCCTTCTCAGACCCAGAAATGTTACATCGGGGGTCCCACCTGGAGCCGCCCGGGGGCACCAGCATCTTCTAACTCAGTACGCACTCACCGTGGACCCACACCTCGTTCTTCTTGACCCCCCAGGCTCAATCCCACCTGTTCACCTTAGCCCAGACCCTGAACGGTCCAGCACTGAGCCAGTGGATTACAGGTCCGACTGCTTCCTGGCTGGAACCCCATATGAGAACAGTAGCACAAATGAGGACGCAGCTAAGGGCTCTAGCTAAGAGCATCTGCCTCAAATCCAGGCAGGATTTCCAGCAATCCTAGCTCCCCCAACTGATGGCTGATTGTCAGAACAAAAAACACTCCCTTTGACTAACTCTCCGCTGTAGAAACAAACCAATCATTGGGGAAGAGAAATATCAACCCCAGTACAAAATGGGTACACGATGCATGCTAAACGCCCTGCCTCTTGCTCTTCGCCTCTGCATGTTGAAATCTCCCATCGTTCAAGGCTCTCCAACAATCGCCGTGGGCCTGTCCGAATCCCAGCGGGACTTGATCAGGGTCTCTGTCTGCTCACCCGTTCTCACTACACATTCGCTGTCTATGGACTCACTCCATTTCCTTCACTCTCTGAAAATGAAGGAGGAGGAGGAGGAAAAAGAGGAGGAGGGAAGGAGAAGAGAAGAAGAAGGAGGAGAAGGAGAAGAAGAAGAAGTAGCTCCCATTCATGGAGGGCCAGACTCAAAGCACACGGCGTGGCCACAAATCCAACTCTGCCAACGACTCTGTTGTAATATGCATGCCAATTACGCAGCTTCCCACACCTGTGTGTCCCCATCTATAAATGAGAGAAATACCTGTGCGAGACACTATTACCTCTCCTCTGAGCCTTCCGCACTCAGCAGGGGTTAGATGGACACACAGACACCCATAATGAAGACGCCACTTCCCGGCCTCCTTTGAAGCTAGGTGTGGACAGGTGAGCACCTTCTGGCCTGTAGGATTTACTTGGGAGGGTCTGCATATCTTCCTTGGGAGAAAACTGACCTGCACTCTTTTCCTCCCATCATTCCCACCCATTC